ACAGAATCTGGCGCCCCGACCGGGACTAGAACCCGGTGTGCCAGCGCCGCAAGGCGGAGGATTAGGCTAGTGAGCCGCGGCGCCGGCCTGCTTTATCATTTTGCCATTAGTTGCAGGCATAAAGTATGAGTAGTGATTCTCCAGTAAGGATTTTACTCTGTATCATTATGGAGTCCTTAAAAAAAAAAATCTTAGCTAGGCTGGTGCCACAGCTCACTAGGCTAATCCTCTGCCTGTGGCGCTGGCACACCGGATTCTAGTCCCAGTTGGGGTGCTGGATTCTGTCCCGGTTGCCCCTCTTCCAGGTCAGCTCTCTGCTGTGGCCCGGGAGTGCAGTGGAGGATGGCCCAAGTGCTTGGGCCCTGCACCCCATGGGAGACCAGGATAAGTACCTGGCTCCTGCCATCAGATCAGCGCGGTGCGCTGGCCACAGCGCGTTGGCCGTGGCGGCCATTGGAGGGTGAACCAACGGCAAAAGGAAGACCTTTCTCTCTGTCTCTCTCTCTCTCTCTCACTGTCTAACTCTGTAAAAAAAAAAAAAATCTTGATTAGTTTGTCTTAAAGTTTTGCTTGAACTCACACTGTTGTCTTCAAACTGGTCAGTTAGTTGAATGGCCACCCAGGGATGGTGCAAAATATGGAACATTTCTCAAATTTGTGTCTTCCTTGTGCAGGAACCATGCTAATCTTCCTTGAACAATTCCAACTTTAGAATACATGCTGCAGCCACCGGCGTTCCTTTAGGACAGGGTGGCTGTAGGAAGTGGGGGAGGGTAAAGTTTCTGAGTCCCCAAGTTGGCTCTTTTGTTCCACTCAGCACTTGTGGAAGAAAGCTCCCACAGGGCTTCCCTAGCGCTCTGGGCTTTGTTTCTGCAGTCTTTTTCTTTTTAATTAACACAATAATTGCACATATTTATGACATGCCATATAACAATTCAATACATGCTTATATTTTTAGATAAATTGATTAACTTATTGAACCTGTCACTGAATGCTACACTTATTAAGATATCAAGACCAAGTTTTTCTTTTTTTTAAAGTAACTTTTTTTAAAAGATTTTTATTTATTTATAAGAGGTAGTTACAGACAGTGAGAGGAAGAGACAGAGAAACGTCTTCCTTATGTTGGTTCAGTCCTCAAATGGCCGCAATGGCCAGAGCTATGCCTGTCTGAAGCCAGGAGCCAGGTGCTTCCTCCAGGTCTCCTACGTGGGTGCAGGGGCCCAAGCACTTGGACCATCTTCTGCTTTCCCAGGCCATAGCAGAGAGCTGGATAGGAAGAGGAGCAGCAGGGACTAGAACCGGCACCCATATGGGTTGCCGGCGCCTCAGGTGGAGGATTAACCTACTGTGCCAAGGTGCTGGCCCCAAGACCAAGTTTTTCATTCCTACTGAAAATCTGCCTATTTTGGTTAGTTTTGTTTTTCACATATAATAGAGCCTAAAATGCATTTAGGCAAAAATATTTTTCTGCTAGAAACATCCTAGCAAAAAGATATGTAGTGGGGGGCCAGCATGGTGACAGAGTGGGTACAGCCACCGCCTGGTCACTGGCATCCCATACGGGCACTGCTTCATGTTCCGTCTGCTCTGTTTGCACTCCAGCTCTGTGCTAATGGCCTGGGAAAAGCAGCAGAATATGGTTCAAGTGTTTGAGCCCGTGTACCCACGTGGGAGAACAGATGAAGCTCCTGGCTCCTGGCTTCAGCCTAGCCCAATACTGGCAATTGCAGCCATCTGGGGAGTGAACCAGTGGATGGAAGCTCTTTGTCACTGTCTCTCTGTCTTTCTCTGTAACTCTGCATTTAAAATACATAAATAAGTCTTAAAAAGATCGATAGTGAACAGGGGTGGTCTGTGTTCAGCAGCCAAGGCTCAGGAAAAACCATTTGCTCCTCCTAACACATCCCCCAGGGTAAGCCTCCACGACGCTCCCTCCGAAACAGTCTGCCCCGTTCTGCACAGAACAGTGAAAATCGAAAACAAAGTATGGCCAGAAATGAAGCAACTGAGCATCAGGCAAGATGTGTCCACTGTCCTCACCCTGAGCTCTGGCTGGGTTCCTGCTACACCACAAACCCCGCCTCTTGTGGATGGTGTGGCCTTGAGTCTGCTGGCCAATGCTGCTTTTGCATACGGGGAAGACTCTGACTTGGAAAACGTTTGGGGACAGCTGCAGTCGCGTGGGAACCATTCCCTCTCAGAGGAGGCAGAGATTTCACATAGACCCCCGCAGTCTCAGGACATGCCTCTGCTCCTGCCACGGCTGACAGAGGGTTCCAAGCCAGTGTAGCCTCTGTCCTGTCCGTGTTGGCAAATGCATGAACACTTGGGAACTGGCCTGACTAGGTTTGCACAAGGAGAAAACCAGGTCTTTGAAAACTGCATGACCCTTGGTTTTGTTATGAGCTTATGAGTTTGCACCATAATTTCCTCAAGGGACCACTTATCCATTTATTTATGTAGGCTGTTCCCAGTTGTTTGATAAGAACATAGGAACATAAGATATAAAGAGATGTCTCAGACTTGGGTTATTTTCACTCTCGTTATTGCTTAAGCAAATGATTGGAAGCAGGACTGCAGGTTCTGAGAGGTGATGATACAATGAAGCATGGAAGTTGCACACTACACTCAATGAAATCAGTGACACAGCTCAGAGTCACCCGGTGCCCCGAAAGGGGTGTAGGTGCAGTAGGGCTCTTATGAGGAGCTGGTGTGTGGCGCTTTCTACATAGGATGACTGGTGAGTACCAGAGCCATTCTGCTTTCTCACAGTTCTTTCCATTTTTCCTCAGGTTTTCCTTCCAGGACTGTTTGGGCTGGAAAAGGATACGAAATGAACCATGTTAGGGTGAGTTTGTGTGTGTGTGTGTTGTTGTTGTTGTTAATTGCTTGAAAGAGAGAGGGAGAGACCTTCCATCTGCTGACTCATTCTCCAAACACCTGCAATAGCCAGGCTGGGCCACGTCCAAGCCAGGAACCCTGCTCCTTGAGCCATCATGTGCTGCCTCCCACAGGACATATTAGCATGGAGCTGGAGTGGGAAGTGGAGCTGGGACTTGCGCCCAGGCACTCCAGTATGGAATGTTGGTGGGCATCCTGAGCTGTGGCTTAATAACCGCACTAAACACCCACCCCTGAGTTTTTCAGTAAGTTCACATCATCAAAATGAACTATCTGTCAACCATGTGCAACTTGCTAGTCTTTTGGCATATTTTCCTCCTCCTTTTCGTATATATGCTAAAAGATATCATGCTCTAAGTTCTTTCCTATCAAAGCTGAACATCTGACCACTGCTTCCACAAATCCAGTCAATTGTTTTGCCCCAGACATAACAGTATTATGAATGTATCACCCCAGTATATTCCTCTAATTATTGATATATTTAATATGTGTTCCCTCAGCTTTGTCCTGTGTTCATTTGGCAGCATTCTTAGAATCTGCACAATAGGATATGTTTATATTATATTCAATGGTTTAAAAAACACCACGAACAACAACAACAAAACAAAAAACAAAAAACCTGACCATGCTGGCATTCTGATCTCAGGTTACCAGCATCCAAAACTGGGAGAAATAACCTTCTACCATTGATAAGTCATGCTGTTTTGGGTACTTGTTATAACAGCTCAAACTTAGTCACTATCATAAAGAAACAGTGCCTTGTGCACAAAGATGTTTATTACAGTATTATTTATAACATCAAACAAATGGGAAAACATAAATATCTCTTTGGGAACAGTTGAGTGTTTTGAAACAATGAAATATTATTCAACAACTAAAAATCTTCACTAAGACTTCTTGATAGGAAGGGGATATGTTTATATTATATTCAGTGGTTTAAAAAACACCACGAACAACAACAACAACAAAAAGAATCTGCACAATAAACTGATGCAGATCAGAACTGAAGCCAAGTGCACAGAATTCATGGAGCAGCAAAAAGTAACCAGCTAAGCAGCGTTGTTTCCTCATAACTGTTAAAATTAAGCCACTGAAGCCCGAGGTTGGAATCTGGTTTTGGCAGGAAAAGCGGACTGGAACATAACAGCCACTGCAAAGTTCCTCTGTCCAAGAAGACAATCCATGCCAGCCTCAAGAGGTGAGATTTTTCAGTGGACAACAAAGGCCTGTACTTTGCAAGTGTGATTCCCAACACTGAGTGGCAGAAATGAAATGCTGATATAGCCCTCGATGACGTGAGATGCAGACAGACATGGAGTGGGAGTGCAACACTGCAGGGAATGTAAAGGCCGTCTCCCACCCTTTCTTAAAGTTTATTATTATTATTAATATTATTATTATTATTATTGTTATTTTCCAGGAGGAAAGCAAGAAAACCCACTAAATTAAGGGATGGCACCATCTAGTTCCCATGCTGACTGGGAACCAGATTAGAAAGGGTCTATTCAGATGAGGCAGCTGCTGCCCTGCTCTGAGGAAAAGGTGGCAGCACAGATCAGTGAGCAGTGGGGCAAGGAAAGTGGCTGAATGGGGTTGAGATTCTGGAAGTGGAATTCAGGAGTGTGTGTGGGATGGCAGGAGTTTTGAGGGAGACAGTGGCCTCATGAGTAGATCTGTTGCTTTTGATTTCTCAACAATGTTGCAGTGGATTCATTTCTGAGAGGAGCAGCGTGGTGGGGGCAAGAGGCTCGGAGTCACCACACAGACCCGGGGAGTCGGGTGAAAGCAGGCTTGAGGCGAGCAGCCCACAGACTCGTTTATTTCAGTTGGTACAATAGCTTATATAGCCAAGACCAGCCAATCTGGTCAAGGGGCGGTCTATGCCCCAACCAATCACAGCCTGTTGCCAGGCAGTTTCCAAAGCCATCCAATCACAGCCTGTTGCCAGGCAGCTTCAAATCCATCCAATCACAGCCTGTTGCCAGGCAGGCTCCATTGCCAGGTGGGCTTCAAAGCCATTCCTGAGTAACTGACACTCGCTTGCCAGTGGCCACCTTGGCATGGCCTTCTCATTCCACCACATAGATCTTGGGTTGATGGCGCCCGGCAAGACATTTCAGGCTCCAGAGAAACTGCCTGGTGAATTCCACACAGAATTACAGCTCGGTTCAGGGGCAGCAACGCCTTGTATCCCAGCCCTCACGGGGAATCTCTCGTTCCAGGGAAGCGTGACCTTCGAGGACGTCAGTGTGAACTTTACGCAGGAAGAATGGCAGTGGCTGACCCCCAGGCAGAGGCGTTTGCACAGGGATGTGATGCTGGAGAACTACAGCAACGTGGTCTCCCTGGCCCAGCACGGCTGCCAGGGTGGGTGACTTAACACATGAGGTCTGAAATGTGTGGGCAGGCCACTGTGTGGCTGAAGGGCCCATCCTCGAGGTGCCCCTCACTGGGCTGAGCCGGGAGTAGGGTGCAGTGAAGGACAGCTCAGATGCTCACTTCCAGGGTGGTGCCCTGCGGATGAGGCCCCTACCCCTTCAGCCCAGCCCTGACCCTGGTTCTTGGGAAAGCTTCATCCCCCAGGAAGAAAAGCCTTTCTTTGTTCTGTTTGGTTTGACTGCTCATGTGGATTCCTTAACACAGCAGCTTCCCTGTCCATTCACCTCATCCCCCTCAACCAATGGCACCCTCATCTCACACGTTCACGAAAACACCCACACACAAAGCCTCACACTCATACTCACACTCAGGAGCACCCACATGGCAACATTCACACACGTTTATAACACTCCCACATGGAAGAAATGCATGCTCACAAAACACCCCCCCACAAACCAACACCCCCCCCCCCCCGCCCCCGCCCTTACGCCACCCCACCAAGCCCTGTGGTGTTTCCTACAAACAGGCCAAGAGGAAGCCAGCAAACCTGAGGTGATCTTGAGGCTGGAGCGCGGAGAAGAGCCCTGGACGGTGGGAGGCGAGGGGCTGAGCAGCAGCGGACGAGGTAATCAGGGCAGCACCGGTGGGCCAAGGTCCCGGGAAGCCAGCTGTCCTGTTAAAGAGGAACCATTTGGCAGTGACTGGGAATGGCTGGGACAGCCTCAGTGTGCAGGTGCTGTGTTTTCCTTTGCAGATGAGAACTGTTCTCTTCTCGCCCTGAGCTCTCAGCTCCCGTGTGCTGGGTCTCTTGCAGTCCGGTGCAGGCCGCTCAGCAGCGCTCCGGAAGCTGTGGCTCATTTCTTTCCTCTTTTGTGCTCCTCGTGAGATCTGACACTCCCGACCTTACCTGGAAGTCCTCCATTATCTTGGCCCTGTGCCTTTTTTTCCCCTTTATTATTATTAAATATTTATTTATTTATTTGAAAGGCAGAGTTAGAGAAATCTTCCATCTGCTGGTTCACTCCCCAGATAGCCACAGCACTGGGACTTGGGTCATCTTCCACTGCTTTCCAAGGTGCATTAGCAGGGAGCAGGATCAGAAGTGGAACAGTCAGGACTCGAACCGGTGTCCACATAGGATGCCAGTGCTGTAGACTGAGGCTTAACCCACTACTTCAACAGAGCCAGCCCTGGCCCTGTACCTTAAGAAAAAAAAATACATATTCTGTCTCCCAAAAGCTGCTGGCTAGGACACAGGCTTCTGCCTGCTCCCCTTTTGATGTTGGGCTGGGCTGAGTCTGGGGGACCTGGTTCTGTCATGTTCCTGTGGGCAGGTCAGGCTACACAACTGTATATGCAGATAAGAATGAAATGGTTACAGCAAGTAACTGGAGTCTTAACTGTTCTTTTGTACCTATGTGTATAAGTTTCTCCCCGCAATTTCTTCAATATTAGTTTTGTTCTCAGAACCTGTATTGGCCAACTTTTCATCATTATAAAAAATACCTAGGGGGGCTGGTGCTGTGGCATATCAGGTAAAGCTGCCGCCTGCAGTGCGGGCATCCCATATGAGTGCTGGTTTGAGTCCTGGCTCCTCCACTTCTGATCCAGCTCTCTGCTACGGCCTGGGAAAGCATTCAAAGATGGCTCAAGTTCTTAGGACTCTGCATCCTCGTGGGAAACCCAGAAGAAGCTCCTAGCTCCTGGCTTTGGATTGGCGCAGTTCAGGCCATTGTGGCCATTTGTGGAGTGAACCAGCAGATGGAAGACCTCTCTCTCTCTGCCCCTGCCTCTCTGTAACTCTGCTTTTCTAATAAACAAACAAGTCTTAAAAAAAAAAAAAAAACCTAAGGCAGGATAATTTTATAAGGAAAGAGATACATTTTCAACTCAGAGTTTTGGAGCTTAGCAGTCCAAGATCAGGTGCGCCCCAAAGCCTCAGCCTATGGTGACAGAGTCCCAGAGTGGTAGGGAGCACCACACAGCAAAATACAGGGACTGCAGGGCTGGCGCTGTGGCATAGCGGGTAAAGCCACTGTCTGCCATGTCAGCATGCCATATGAGTACTGGTTTGAGTCCTGGCTGCTCTACTTGCGATTCAGCTCTCTGTTATAGCCTGGGAGAGCAGTACAAGATGGCCAAGTCCTTGGGCCCCTGTACCCTTGTGGGAGACTGGAAGAAGCTTCTGGCTCCTGGCTTCAAATCAGCACAGCTCCAGCTATTGTGGCCACCTAGGTAGTGGACCAGTGGATGGAAGACTTCCTCTCTCTCCCTCTCTCTCTCTCTCTCTGCCTCAGCCTCTCTGTAACTCTGCCTTTCAAATAAACAAATAAATCTTTAAAAAGAAAATACAGGGACTGCCCCTGTTGTACTATATTCCTCTCAGTCCCCTAACATGAGTTTTGGGACTAACCTGCATGAATTTGGGAGCCATATCATAGAGTCTCTGGCCTTAGGGTTTCTTTTATGTTTGGGCGTACTGAGAAACCTAGATTATCTTAACCAAAAAGAACAAGCCAATTATAAACAGTTATATAAATATATGTTTATTAATGAGAGAAAATCAGAATGCATGTGTTACAGGTAACTCACAAATGATTACAAGGCTGCAGTAGATGTTGAGTTATATTTTGTCTATGTGGAGTTAAAACTACAATTTTTATGTGGAGTTTTACTTTTTGTAAACAGTCAACAGTAAATCAGTTTGTTCTACACTAACTGATGTCTTGATTGCAGTACCTGTGGTTGCCCCAACAGCACATCTGCTTGGTTATACATAAGTTACATCCTTTAACACCTCGCTGAGGTTAGATTAAGTCCAGTTTCCCAGAGACATTAGGGCGCAGTGCAGAATGATTGCCCCAATAGACTGTTTATGACATTTCATTTCAATCATGGGAGTGGAAAATCTGACACAGGAAACTTCTCTGTGTTCGATTTTAGAAGCGTGTGCTTGGAGACTCCAGGCAGTGGAGGAAGATCTCAAGAGAGACGCTGCATCATCGATCAAGAACGCAGCAGTGACCAAGCAGAAAGGCGTTGAACGGGAAGAAACACTTCCTTCAAACAGAGATGATACTACTTCAAGTCCCCCACTCATAGACCATGACCTGTTTGGGAGAGATCTGGAACAGAGTGTGGATATGAAAAGCTGTGTAAAAAACAACTCTCATGAATCTAAGAGATTCAGGAAATTGGTTGGCCATAATGCATCCAAACTGGCAGAGACACAATTTGAATGTGATTTCTGTAGAAAGCTATTCAGTTCCAAAGCATGCCTTCTGAGTCACCTGCGGATGCATGCTGGGGAGAAAGCCTTTGAATGCAGCAAATGTGGAAAAGCATTCAGTAAGCAGTGGAAGTTCAGTAAGCATCAGAAAACTCACATGGAGGAAAAGCCCTACGCATGCGGTGAGTGTGGAAAAGCCTACAAGCAGAAGCTCAATCTCATCCAGCATCAGAAAAGTCACACTGAAGAGAAACCCTATAAATGTAAGACCTGTGAGAAAGGCTTTTTCTGGAAGTCATGCCTCATTAATCATGAGAAAACTCATAATGCCAAGAAAGCCTATGAATGTAATGAATGTGGCAAATCCTACAAGCAGTATGCGACCCTCTTTCAACATAAAAAAATCCACACGGGGCAAAAACCCTATGGGTGTAAGGACTGTGAAAAAACTTTCATTTACAAGTCCGACCTTATGAAACACCAGAGAATACACACGGGAGAGAAACCCTATAAATGTAGCATATGTGAAAAGGCCTTTTCCCAGAAGTCAAATGTCATTGATCATGAGAAAATTCATTCTGGAGAGAGAGCTTATGAGTGTGATCTGTGTGGCAATACCTTCATCCAGAGGAAAAATCTCATTCAACATAAGAAAATCCATACCGGAAAGAAACCCTTTGAATGTGCTAGATGTGGCAAAGCTTTTTTTCAGAAGTCAAACCTTCACAGTCATCAGAAAATTCATGTTGGAGAAAGAGTCTATGCATGTAATGAATGTGGAAAATCCTTCAGCCGGAAGCTAAACCTCAGTTTGCATAAAAAAACGCATAGTGGACAAAAGCCTTACAAATGTTCTGAGTGTGGGAAAGCCTTTGCTGACAAGTCATATCTTCTGAGACACCAGAAGAGAATTCATAGCAAATAAGAGTCCCATAAATTTGAAAAATTTGAGAATGCCTTCGTTTATTGTAGAATGTAGTAGTCACCCAGGAATTTGTACTGAAATGCTTTAGTATTTGAAGGCTATTTCTGAAGCAGTGAAGACTTTTTTTTTAAAGATTCATTTATTTATTTGAAAGTTACAGGGAGGCTGAGAGAGAGAGAGAGAGAGGGGAAGAGATCTTCCATCTGCTGGTTCACTCCCCAAATGGCCTCAACAGCCAGAGCTGTGCTGATCCAAAACCAGGAGCCAGGAACTTCTTCTAGGTCTTCCACATAAGTACAGGGGCCCAAGCACTTGGGCCATTGAAACAGTGAAGACTTCAGTGGAGTATCTTGTGAAGAATGATTTGGCTTATTCATTCATCAAATATAAAGTGTCTTTTGTTTTAAACACTGAATATGTAGCAATAAACCAAAAACCTTCATGAAATTTTAATTTAGTGAATAATGACCAGTGATAACCATTCCTTTAAAAACTTAAAAACATTCACTAATTGGGAATAGACACAAGAAAATGTAATGACATGGTATTGTACCAGTAGTATGAGAGTACTTCAAAAGGTTCATAGAAAAATTAAGTTAAGGGCTGGTGCTGTGGTGTAGCAGGTAAAGCCTCTGCCTGCAGCACCAGCATCCCATATGGGCACCAGTTCCTGTCCCGGCTGCTCCACTTCCCATCTTATTTTCTGCTATGGCCTGGGAAAGCAGCAGAAAATTGCCCAAGTCCTTAGGCCCCTGCACTTGCATGTGAGACCTGGAAGAAGCTCCTGGCTCCTGGCTTCCAATGGGCTAAGCTCCAGCTGTGGCAGCCATTTGGGGAGTGAGCTAAAAGATAGAAAACCTCTCCCTCTCCCTCTTCTTCTCCCTCTCCCTCTCCCTCTCCCTCCCTTCCTCTCTCTGTATATAGAAGGGAACACAGCAGAGAAAATCCCTGACCTCATGGAGTTCCCATTCAGGTAGAAGACATCTGGTTCCAAATATTTACATGTGCTCATCCATCTATCCCTCCAGCTTGCTTTGTATGAACTCGAAATAGTAGAGGCCTGGAATTTCATTTGCTTACTGTTAACAGACAGGAACTCTTGGGAAGTAGGATGATTATTTCTGTCTATGCACTTTGGTGAAATATGTAATTAATAGGAATCATGTACTTTTTAATCAAATAAAAGTGTTTTTCTAAAAAAATGAGATGTGTATATGTCATGATGTTAACATGTTAAGGATGTTTTATAATAACTGATGGGAGAGATATGAATGAAGTATTTTCCTCTCTGCCTTATCTTTTTCTCTAATAATATTTTTAAACAACTAGCTATCAAGTATATACAACAAAGTGGTGTGGGAGCTGAGATACAAGTGTGTTGAATGTACATCACAGATAAAGAATGGAGTGTCTCTTCTGTCCAGGTGTTTAACCAAATTACATTCTCCATGGAATTGTTTTTGTTATTCTGAAAAATTATTTTTTAAAGATTTATTTTCAACTTCCCACCCCAGGAGTCAAACTCAGGCCGCCTGGGTGAAAACCAGGAATCCTAACCGCTAGGCCATGTGGGATCTCTGTCATTAATGTGTTGCCCAATGTGAATTAACGCTATAACTAGTACTGAACCAGTAGTTTACACTTTATGTTCTGTGTGGGTACAAACTGATGAAATCTTTACTTAATAGATACTAAATCGATCTTCTGTCTATAAAGATAATTGAAAATGAATCTTGATGTGAATGGAAGAGGGAGCAGGAGATGGGAGGGGTGCGAGTGGGAGGGAAGTTATTGGGGGCAGGGAAGCCATTGTAATCTATAAACTGCACTTTGGAAATTTATATTTACTAAATAAAAGTTAAAAAAAAACAGCGAAGGAGAGAGGGAAGTGGGGAGGGAAGCTAGGAAGGAAGGAAAGAGGCAGGGAAGGAGGGAGGGACCTCACCTTCCATGCCACACAGATTCCGTTTTCTGTTTAATAAAGCAAGTTGCACCCCCCCAAAAATAAACAAAATACATCTTTATTTTGGGGGGCAACTTGCTTTATTTATTTTGTTTATTTTTTGACAGGCAAGCGGGGGATTAAGCAAGTGAGCCATGGCGCTGGCCCAAGATTTATCTCTTTAGTATAAAGGCAGAGTTACAGATAGAGAGAGCTGGAGATCTTTCTTGTGCTGCTTCACTCCTAAAATGGCCACAATTGCTAGGGGTGAGCCAGCCCAAAGTCAGGAACCTAGGACTCCATCCAGGGTTCCTACATGGGCAGCAGGGACCTGAGTAGTTGAGCCATCTTCTACTGCTTTCCTGTGCACATCAGCAGGGAGCTTGATCAGAAGTGGAGTAGGGGCTGGCGTTGTGGCATAGTGGGTAAAGCCAGGAACTCCAACCTGGTCTCCCACATGGATGGCAGCAGCCCAGGTACCTGGACCATCAGCTGCTGCCTCGTCAGGCACACAATAGGCTGCAGGCAGCTGGAGTTGCTAGTGGAGCCAGGACTCCACCCCAGGCACTCCGATCCGGGATGTGGGTGTCTCAAGCGGCATCTTTACCACTATGCCCAATGCCCTCTCTTGATTATTTCAGTCTTTGCTGCTGGTTTCCTTGTGTTTACTCTGTTTATGTAGACGGACTGGCCACCTGATTTAGGAGTCCTGTGAGAAATGAATATGCCTGGTCCCTTTTACAAGATCATTAAAAATTCCAAATGCCAGGTGCCCCAAGGATCTGGAAGGAATATGATTTTTACTTCAAGACAGAATTTCAAGATGGCAAGAGCAGAGAATCAAGCCACATTCAGGGTGGTCTTAATTCTGAGCCCTGTGGGACGGCAGAGACTCTGTTGCATGCCATGGAACTGGGCCTGTGTCCAGGAACTTTCCGTCCTCTTGCCTGGAGCTCTGGCTTTGCCATGGCCTGTGCCTTCTCTCGTCCTCAGTGTCCGTGTCCTGCGTATACAGCAGCTCAAACGTAGCTCTGTATGGCCTCATACTGGCTTTCAGCTGCTTGAGATTTGTGCCTCACATACCCCAGGAGTCAAGTGATCTGGAGCTAAGTGCAGCAGGGATCTTCTGTGGTCACACACTCACACTCTGTTTCTTTATGTGTTCTGAGGGGCACCATGTGTGATGACATTGGAAGGATATGACTGAATCATGTAAACACTTAGTAGACCTTTCTGATGCCAGAAAGAAGTGTGAAAGTGAGGTTTACAGGGGCTGGCACCTGTCGTGGTGTAGCGAGTGAAGCCACTGCCTGCAGTGCCGCATCCCATATGGGCACGGGTTGGAGTCCCAGCTGCTGATTTCCAACCCATCTCTGCTATTGCCTGGGAAAGCGGTAGAGGATGGCCCAAGTCCTTGGGACCCTGCACCCACCTGGAAGACCCGGAAGAAGCTCCTGGCTCTTGGCTTTGGATCGGCCCAGCTCCGGCCTTTGTAGTCATTTGGGGAGTGAACCAGCAGATATAAGACCTCTCTCTCTCTTTCCCCTCTGCCCCTCTCTAACTCTGCTTTTCAAATAAATAATTTTACAAAATGGTGAGCTATATATAGACATGAGCTTTAGAAATTGACAGAAAAAGAAGTTCCAGGTACAGAGGCAAGAGCTGAATAAAAATCGATCCTTGAGGGACAAGTTCGGTGTTGCAAAAGCATAAAATTTGTTGTGGATGGAATTACAAGTTGACAGATGACCATGGACCACATTTTGACATCAATTTGAAAGACTGAAGAAGCATTGATTCTGCAACTCAGTAATTCAAGTAGTGGCTATAGACCCGAGAATGTTGGTTGTCTGGTCTCAGCACCCTGCTTATGCTCAAGGGTCTTTTAGCTTCAACAGTCTCATGGGTAGCTCATCAGTCTGTAGAAGCTGCTCCAGTTAACAGCTCCTCCTGCTGTCCTCAATGTGCTGTGAAGCCACAGTCCTGAGAATATGATCTGGACACCCCTTTTCCCTCACCTGCCACAAACAGCTGGTGACCTGTTATGCCACCCTGTCACCTTCAAACCTACTCCTGGAGAGCTCCTTCCCCTCAGTGGAGCTTCCAAAGCGAGCTCAGAATGGCCTAAATGGGAGGGGAAGGCAGGGTGCAAGCCTGAGCGGCCTTGGTTCCTATCACCACCTAGTGGCAGCAGCGAGCAATGACTCCAGTGTCTGTACAGGTGCTCCTGTGCTTTCAGATTCTTCCAGAAGACTCTGAACATAAACATAAAGGTTCTGAAGACTTTTTTCTTGATGGGTCAGCTCACTTAAAGAAAGCAGGATTGTGGCTCTTACACACACACGCAAAAAAAGATGCTAGGAAGCATATGGAGGAACCTGGGTTTCCAGGGCTATAAAATAGAGGCAATATGACTAGGTGTTTTTTTTGTTTTAAAAGATTTACTTATTTGAGGCCGGTGCCACAGCTCAATAGGCTAATCCTCGGCCTGTGGCCCCGGCACACCAGGTTCTAGTCCCGTTCGAGGCACCGGATTCTGTCCCAGTTGCGCCTCTTCCAGGCCAGCTCTCTGCTGTGCCCTGGGATTGCAGTGGAGGATGGCTCAGGTCCTTGGGCCCTACACCTGCATGGGAGACCAGGAGAGGCACCTGGCTCCTGGCTTCGGATCAGCACAATGCAATGGTCTCATCGCGCTGGCTGTGGCGGCCATTGGAGGGTGAACCAACGGCAAAAGGAAGACCTTTCTCTCAGTCTCTCTCTCTCTTACTGTCCACTCTGCCTGTCAAAAAATAAAAATTAAAAAAGAAGAAGATTTACTTATTTGAAAGGCAGTTACAGGAAGGAGAGAGAGAAAGGGAGAGAGAGAAAGCGAGAGAGAGAGAGAAAATATGAATCTTTGACTCCCCAAAGGGCTGCAATGGCAGGAACTGGGCCAGTCCCAAGAACGAAGCCCGGAGCCTGGAGCTTCTTCTTCTGGGTCTCCCACGTGGGTGCAGCGACCCAAGGATTTGGGCCATGTTCCACTGCTTTCCCAGGCCATAGAAAAGAGCTGGATTGG